ACTGTGTGGACCAGAAGGGAGAGAGAAACATTCAATGAGAACAGAATGAAAAAACAAGAATGTAAAAAAAATGAGGAGAGGCTTAGGAACCTCCAGGACAGCTTTGAACGTTCCAACATCCTAATCATAGGGGTTCCAGAAGGAGAAGAGGAAGAGCAACAAATTGAAAACTTATTTGAAAACATAATAAAGAAGAACTTCCCCAATCTGGCAAAGGAAAAGACTTCTAGGAAGTCCAGGAAGCTCAGAGAGTCCCAAAGAAGTTGGACCCAAGGTGGAACACACCAAGACACATCATAATTACATTACCTGAGATTAAAGAGAAGGAGAGGATCTTAAAAGCGGCAAGAGAAAAGGAGATAGTTACCTACAAAGGACTTCCCATCAGACTATCAGCTGATCTCACAAAAGAAACTTTGCAGGCAAGAAGGAGCTGGAAGGAAGTATTCCAAGTCCTGAAAGGCGAGGACCTACATCCAAGATTACTCTATCCAGCAAAGCTATCATTTAGAATGGAAGGGCAGATAAGGTGTTTCCCAGATAAGATCAAGTTAAAGGAGTTCATCATCACCAAGCCCTCATTATATGAAATGTTAAAAGAACTTATCTAAGAAAAAGAAGATCAAAAACTATGGTCAGTAAAATGACAACAAACTCACAGCTATAAACAACTGAACCTAAAAACAAAAACAAAACAAACTAAGCAAAGAACTAGAACAGGAAGAGGATCACAGAAATGGAGATCACATGGAGGGTTATCAGTACGGTAGTAGGATGGGGAGAGAGGAGGAAAAGATACAGAGAATAAATAGTATAAATGGTTGGTAGGAAATAGGCAGGGGGAGGTTAAGGAAAAGTACAAGCCAAAGAACTTATATGTATGACCCGTGGACATGAACTAAAGGGGGGGAATGGGGTAGGAGGGGGTGTGGAAGGTAGAGGGGAATAAAGGGGGGGAAATGGGACAACTGTAATAGCATAATCAATAAAATACATTTTTAAAAAGTGGTTTGCGAAGTTTTGTGCTGGAGATTTATCACTGGATGATGCTCCAAAATGGGGTAGACCAGTTGGAGTTGATAGCGGTCAAATCGAGACATTAATTGAGAGCAATCAGTGTTCTACCATGTGGGATATAGCCAACATACTCAAGATATCCAGATCACTAAAGTTGTTGCTGAAAATTAAAAATGTCTTGTTTTATGGAGAAAACCATTTGGACTTTTTGGCTAATCCAACAGCAGTTATGGGATCCTTTAGGAGTAGTATAGTCTTGCCAGGTATATTCAGTACATGTGGTTATTATCCAATTTCAACTGGAATTCTCAAGATTCTTTCATTCATTTCTGGACTTCTTATTACTTTATTGTTTTTACTCCTAGGCCTCTTGTTCCTGTCTTCCATCTCCTTTGCATGTAACTTTATCTCTTTATTGAAAACAAGTTCATTCATTAGTTTAATCCACATGAAATTGGTGGTTTTTTTAAGTAAAAAATAGTTGAATATCTGAAATTTCACACTATTCAAACTAATATTCCCTGGATTTTGTATGCTCTACTTTAAATTTTCTCTGATCATCTCTTCTAGAGAATTTGATAAAATTTGAAATGTTTTACCTGTTTCTCCTTCAAAATATTGTTCTATTCCTGTGTCCTCCCAAATTGCCCTTGTTTCTAATTTTCCATTTGTTCCCCAGTTCAGGCATCTGGTCATACTCTGCCATTGTACTAATTGAAAGCACCTCTTAAATTCATCAGTAACCTTCTGGTCACCTTCCAAGCAGTTTTGCTCAAGCTCTCTTTAGTAGGCAACACTGTTCCTTTGCTATTCCTTGGCTATTCCCTTTGCTGAAATTGTTATATACGTCCATTTTCTTGGTTCTCCCATTTCCCTGTTCCTTTTTACATTACTCTAAAAGTGCTTTACAAAATTTTAGAGGATAAAAATGGTAGGTAGGAGATAACAGTAGGTTTTGGAGTGTGTGGGGAAGTTGAGCCAGGCAGGTATCAGGAAGAACATGGGAGTGGAAGGCAAGAGGCTTGGTTCTAATTGTACTTGAGTGTGAACAGGAAAATTTGGTTCACCCGAGTCTAAACCCTAAACTAATTGAACCAAGAGAATTGTTTAAGCAGCAGTGTTTTTGAGTGCACTTATTTTAAAAACCACAGTATTATCATAATTGAAAAACACTTTGCCTGCCTATAAATGACACTTACAAATGTCTCCATTCATATGCATCCCTATTGCTTTTATTTGGTATTTTAGGAATCGTTCAGGCTCAATATAATCCTATACTTGAAAAATCTGATACTTTGTTTTTAGCTTGTTTTAATTTTTAAGAAGAGTTTTCCATAAATATACTATAGTTCGGTTTCTTTTAAAGTTTGAATTTAGAACCTTAACTTGGACCTAAAATAGAATACCTGGTGTTCCTTTAGAAAATGCAAATTAGCTATTAAGTAGGTTTTCATTGGATCCTTAATTAGTACTGATTGAGCATATTATAACTGTTAATGTGGAATTGATGCTGTTACCTATGTCATTTTTTAATTTATTAAGCAAATCAGTTTTTTCTTTATGTGTTTTTCTTGAAAGCATTTTCTTTTATATATAGTACTTTTTCAAAATGAGGTTATCAACTATTTGCTATGATATATAATGGAGAGAGCTATACTTCTTTTAGTGTAGAATTTACTATTTGAAATTATTTGGCTTCCAAAATATATCAGTATGAATGTACATGTTTTGAGATTCAGCATTTTTACTGAAGTTAACCTTACCCCAGAAATTCTGTTTTACTCACCGTCCATGGAGGGAGGGTATATTGCATTCATTTTTGTATTTATTAGATATATGCCAAATTGCTTTTTAAAGTTAACAGCTAAACTTTTCATTAACTTCAACATCAATTTTATTTTTTTCCCTACAATTAAGATGGCTCTCAGTTATTTACTAGGACAAAAATACTCAGTCCTCTTCAACAAAGATAATTTTATTCCTTTACAACACCAATGGAAAACTAATAACAGTATATCTCAACCAATAATTGCAATGCCCTACTGTTGTGAGCTAAATACTTTTTAAATAAACTCTAAATCTCAAAATCTGTTCTGGAAATGAAATATCTTTTTCTAATTGCAGTTGCAAATATTTTAGCCTTCCTATTTCCTGAATGTATTTTATTCAGAAACTCTAATTTTGAAATTAGCTTTCATTTCTAATCAGGTGCCTTCAGCATGAATTTTTTTGAAAGATTTTATTTATTTTTAGACATAGGGGAAGGGAGAGAGAAAGAGAGGGAGAGAAACATCAGTGTGTGGTTGCCTCTTGCACACCCCCAACTGGGGACCTGGCACAAAACCCTGACATGTGCCCTGATTGGGAATTGAGCCTGCCGACCCTTTGGTTTGCAAGCTGGCAGTCAATCCACTGAGCCACACTAGCCAGGGCAGCGTGAATTTCTTAAGTTCTTTATTTCACTTATTTCACTGATAGAAACATCTGAAGTTTGAAGGAACATGTTCCAAAAGTAAAGCTCAGCATATGCTAGTTTGAGATACAAGTTCTGTATTCTGTAATGGTGTTGATGGTTGTGATGTTCATGACTGATATTAGCAGCAACCACTTCCTAAATTTTAGGACTGTTATGAAATTTTCCTCCCAAAAGAATCTTAAGTCACTTTAAGACAATTAAAATATGCTATATCTTTTGGCAAAAATGATTTTAGGTGTATGGCATAGTGCCTTGCAGATTTTAAGTTCACCATAATATTCATTGCTTACTTTTTTGATAGACAGGAGTCCCAAAAGTATTTAGCTCACAGCAGTAGGGTATTGCAGTTATTGGTTGAGGTATACTGTTCTTAGTTTTCCATTGGTGTTGTAAAGGAATAAAATTACCTTCATTTAAGAGGATTGACTATTCCTGGTCTCATAAATAATTGAGAGCCGTTTCAATTTTAAGAAGAAAAATAAAGTTAATGTTGAATTGGAGTCAATGAAAACTTATTTTCCAAAGTTGAAAATTAGAAGATACATGTTATCTTCAAAACTGTCTGTACTATTATCATAACCATTATGTATGTTACATGTTATTGAGTTGACTCAGTCTCCTGGTGACCTTATGCGTGAGTGATGTCCACAATGTCTTTTCCTCAATAGTCCTGCTCAACTCCTACAGACTCATGTCTATGGCTTCTTGTGTGGAATCAGTCTATCTCATACTTGGTCATCTTTTCCTGCTGCCTTCTATTTTTTTCCCAGCATTATTGACTTTTCCAAAGAACCTTATCTTCTCATGATGTGCCCAAAGTGGGACAGCTTCAGTTTTGTCTCCTGCCATGTTTTGGGCCTAACTTGCTCTAGGACCCACTTGTTCGTCTTTCTGACAGCTCTATGTATTTGTAGAGCCCTCATCCAATGACGTATTTCAGATGAGTGTGTTTTTTTCCTATTAGCCTTCCTCACTGTCCAGCTTTCACATCCATACATAGTTATTGGAAATATGATGGTGTGGATGATATTAGCTTGATTTATAATGACCTTTGTCCTTGGTGACCTTTCCTAATTCTTCCCTTGCTGCCATTCCAAGTCTCAGCCTTCTCATGATTTCTTGGCCGCAGTATGCATATGAATTGACAGACGAACTAAGGTCAGCAATCTTTAAAACTTTCAATGTCTTCATTGTATGTGAAAGTTGTATATTTCTTCTGTAGTCATGATTTTTTTCTTGATATTCAAAGGCAGTCCTGCTTTGGCACTTTCTTCTTTCATTTTCATTTCAGCTCATAGCTACTTTCTGCCAGTAAGGTGGTGTGATCTTCATTTCTTAAGTTATTAATATTTCTTCCACCAATTTCCACTTCTTCTTCCTCTGAGTTTAGCCCAGGTTTTTGTTTATGTTCTGCCTACAGATTGAACAAACTGGAAAACAAGTACATCCTTGTCTGATACCTTTGCCTCCAAAGAAACCATTCTGTCTCTATATTCTCTTCCTACAGTGGCTTCCTGTCCACAGTACAAGCTATACAGCAGAACAGTCAAGTCCTGAGGCACATCCAGTTCTTTCAGAGCAGCCCATAGCTTTTCCTGATGGACACAGTCAAAGGCTTTACTGTACACTATAAAACAGACGAACCTGAAATTCTTTGGAGCACTCCAGTGTCCAGTTGATGTTTACAATTTCATCTGAATGCCTCTCATCTGAATCCAGCTTGAACATCCAGCATGTTTGTTAACTTTTACTATGTTGAGTCACTTTTCTAAGCATCATTTACCCTGAAATAAGAATTTCTTAATTTGACTCTTGGTTCTGCCACATACTAATTGTGTGATCTTGGGTAACTTGCTTCACTTCATGACAGCCTCAATTATCTTGTCTTTAAAGTGGTTGAATGAAATAATAGTAGTACTTACTCCAAATAATTGGTCGAGAATTAAGTGAGGTCATCACTTTCACCATCATTATCATGAACAGCTGACATTATTGACCCTTTTTTACATGTTAAGCAGATATTGTACATCCATACCTTACTAACATTATACCTACTTTACAGATAAGGAAAGTGAGCCTCGGAGAATTCGTGACTTTCCAAATCATTTAGACTTGTTTCAGTTTCACACAGCAGAAACCTTGATGACTTGTGGTTTAAACATAGAGATTCATTTTTCTCGCATAAGAATTTTTCTGGACATTGGTGGCTTTTGGGGTCGCTTTAGCAACTTGACAGCATCGGCACTGGCTTCCTGCCCCTTGTGTTCTGTGTGCAGTAAGGTCACTGCTTCTCTGGGGGAATATGGGGAGGGACAGTGAGCCTCTCTGTCCTTTTGTTTGGGAAACAAAAGATTTTTTTAGAAGTCTCTTCCAGACTGTAGCCTACCTTTCCTTGATTAGCCCTGTATAAGATGCTGCTCCCAGGCTGTAGGGAAGGCACTGCTAACTTTAGGAATAAATATTACCCAGCAGTTACACAGCATACTTTTCCTTTTTGAAATTTTGTATTTTTCAGATTAAAAGTTATTTACCTTTTTCGGGTGGCTGAAGTTTGAAGGTTATGTGCCCCTCCCTACCTTCAAATAAAAATACAAAACAAAACAAAAATTAGTAACTGAATGCTTTCTGTATTAGAAATGATTACTAAGGTACGTTTGTTTCAGATAATTTCTGATAACATTTTTCAACTTTCTGTAGCAAAGAAAACATAATACCTAATCAAAGTAATGAGTTTTGCCTCTTTCCGTTGTAATTATTATGTTTTAACTCATGGGTAAATGAGTTTGTTCTTTGCTCATTTCCTAAGGGTGGCTATCTACTGATTTCATTTTCTGGAAAATAAAATTATGTCACAATTCTTGGAAACTGCTTATTTATTTATTTATTGTTTTCATTTATTTTTTCTTCAGAGATGGGGGTAGGGTGAAGAATGGGTGAAATTAGGTCATAATCCAGATTCCCTATTCAGTTCTCAAATATATAACAATAGCTTACTCTTTTATTCTTTTTCTATATTTGATGTAAATTACATTGAATTTGTAGAGAAAGGATAAGATCCAGTAAGATTTTGAGCCAGGCAACATTATTTGCTTGTAGGCAAGGAGATTGAGGCCTGGAGAATTTATGAAAGTTATGCAGAGTCAGTGACCTAGAACACCATGGAGCTTGGATTGGAGTCAGCCTGTTCCACAGTGCCTTGTGAGGATGAAATCCTGAACAGTATGTTCACTGAGGACAGAGCTTTCTCTTTCTTTTAAAGTATTAAATGACATGTTTATCAAATAAAATATGCCTCTGGTATCACTTTTTACACTTCAACAACTTTTTGTTGCAATAATCTTTTTTAAAACAATGAAGAAATATTTTAAGTACCAACCATAGTTTATCTTAGGACACTCTGATTTCTGTTTTATCAGATCACTTTACCAGAGATATTATCATGTAATTTTATTTCAGTTAAGCTAAATTCAGGCACCCTGTTGTCAACCCTAAACTAGTCGGCTAGTTTAGGGTTGACCATTGTCATTGACTAATAAAGGGATGGACTCTTCCCTGTTGACCTTTCTAGTCTGAATTTCACAGTATGTCTTTTTAGATAATGACACTGCAGTGTGGTCTTACAATGTTTCTGTGTGTATAGCTCTATTTTCAGGTTAATTTTTTTGAGTTGGGTAATTTACCAAGCAAAATATTTCAAAGTATATTTCAAATATTTCAGTGTTTATATATCTGTCATTGTAAATACCATCAGATGCTGTGCCCTTTTATGTTAAAAATTTATGGGTTAAAGTGCATAAATTTGAATTTATGCAGGTTCTTTGACATTTTTATATATTCTTTTGCTTACTATAAAAATACACTGTTGCCCTGGCTGGTGTGGCTCAGTGGACTGAGCGTGGACTGCGAACCAAAGGGTCACCAGTTTGATTCCCAATCAAGAGCACGTGCCTGGGTTGCAGGCCAGGTCCCTAGTGGGGGCCATGTGGGAGGCAACCATACATTAATGTTTTTCCCCCTCTCTTTCTCCCTCCCTTTCCCTCTCTCTAAAAATAAATAAATAAAATCTTTAAAAAATAACTATTTAAAAAAAATACACTGCTGACTAAACCAAACCCAGTTCTCTTGTTTTTTTTTCACTTTAGATTGAAACTTTAATTTTTTCTATGTAGTAATCATTGCAGTGTCAAAGCTAATATTCTTCAGTAATCAAGCCAAATTACTAAAATTATATTATGTTGGTATTTCTGTTATTAATTTGTTTCTTTCAAATTGTAAAAGTAATTTATTCCTGTAAAAAAAGCTATGGGAAATTCCCTAGGGAGACTTCCAAACTTCATAAGTCCTATTTGGTAACTGTATGTGTTGATGGATGTGAACTAGACTTACTGTGGTGGTCATTTCACAACATATACATATCTCAGGTCATTGTGTTGTACACCTGAAATTAATCTTCTATGTCAGTTATATCTCAATGTAAACATATACTGCTAAAAAAAAGAAAAGAAAAAAAAAGACCTTCAAATACCCACCAGTCATTTTGGTGAGTTTCCTTCCAGTTTTTTTCATCTAAACTCAGATTTTTATTTTGTTTGTATATGGTTTGAGTCATTCTCTCTCCTACATAGGAAGCATACACAATAAATAGAAGTGAAACCGCTTGCTGTCGAGAATTTGTAGTTTTCTGTATAGTTGATAAAGTCATTCCCAAATTGCTTACCAAAACATTGGAAAATAGCTCTTTAATATTTTTATATGGTTGTAGATGCTAAATTTTCTTTTTTTATTATTTTATTGTTCAATTACAGTTGTCTGCATTTTCTCCACACCCCTACCCCCTACCCACTACCTCATCCTTTCCAGATCAGCATACAGCATTTACTTTGTCTGTTAAATACCCTACCCATCAGTTTTCTACCTTAAAGCTACTTTTTTTTCCTAATGACTGAAAGTATGTAGATATCACCTGACTATGATAAAGGGAAAATTTAATTTGTTCTTTTTTATGCATGTTTAAGATTTTTCAATATTTTATAAGTGTTTGACATGTATCTGTAGCTCACATATAATATTTTTATATGGTTTAAGTAATAAAAGGAATATTTATTACATGGTAATAGCCCTTTTTAAAATAGCAATTTAAAGCTATTTTTCTGTGTTCTAAACTCTGCATCTGAATTTCATGTACTAATAGTATGTGGCTTTTAAAAATGTATTTATCAATACTTGGGTTTTTTTTCTTCAGCTACCTATTACAGAAAATAAAGAGTTTGTATTAATGATCTAATTAGTTGTTATGATTTTAAAAGCAAGAACTTTCTGATAGATGGGAATGTAAAATGGTGCAACCACTTTGGAAAATAGTTTGGCAGTTCTTTAAATATTTAAACAGAGTAACCATTATGACCCAGCAACTTCACTCCTAAGTATATATCCAAAAGAAATCAAAACATATGTCCAGTCAAAAACTTGTACACAAATGTTCTATTATTCAAAATAGCCAAAAAGGAGAAACAATTCAGATGTCCACTAACTGATGGATTGCTAAACAAAACATGTATTTGTGTAAATATTCCATACAGTGTAATATTATTTGTCCATAAAAAGAAATGAAGTGCTGATACATGATACAACATGACTGAACCTTGAAAACATTATGCCAAGTGAAAGAAGCCAGTCACAAGGGGCCACATACTATATGACTTCATGTATATGAACTGTCCAGAATAGGCAAATATTTACAGTACAAGTAGAAAGAAGATTAGTGATTGCCTAGGGATAGGAGGATAAGGGGCAGGAGTTTGAGGAGTGATGGCTAATGGGTACAGAGTTTCTTTTTGGAGTGATAAAAGTGTTTTGAAAAACTGGTTATAGGTGAGTCTTTAGATGGGTGAATTGTATGGTATATGAGTTATATATTAATTTTTTAAAATAACTTCTCTGTGTAAAAGTGGCAGCATAAGAGACTCAAGAAACTCTGTTTCTTCCTGTTCTGTTTTGTCCACTTGAGCAAATCATCCTCAGTCTCATTGTCTTGCTGATAATTCTTTTTAGAGCCTTCCCTGTCCTAAAATCTATGGTTTTAATTGGGGGTGGGGGGGATGGCAATCATCTGATTACAACTGTCAACAAATTACGTTTAGATACACTGATTGCTCTTATTCAGTGTTTTCCCAAATTGCAGGAGTGCTGATTTCGTGGACTAAGCCTGATGCCCTCCTCTTCCTTATCATGGTTTCTAAAGGAAAGTGCATTGTTTGTTTTTATTAAAGACAACTTTTCCCCAAAGTTACTGTACAGTACAGTTCACCTCATTTCTTAGCCCAAATGATGCATTTGGTGCCACAGAGTCTACTGTCAAATAGCTTCAGTTACTCCATTATAAAACATGCTAAGAACAGCCCTTGTCACTGCAATGTTAGTCAGAGGACCTCAGCAAGTAACCACAGACTGTATTTATAGCAATGTATGTTTTGGATTTATAACATTTTATCTGTTATATACATAGTGTGTTATTTACTTGGTTACTTTATAATTGTGATAGTTTCATACCACCCACTGTAGGTTGTTGTGCAGTGTTTATTCTGACCACAAATTAAGGAGTTATTTTTTTCTGTGGTTCAGTCATGCACAAAGATTATATTGCAAGAGTTGCCGGAGTCCAGGTTCTATAAACAATTTTTTTGGAAGATCTCTTTGTGTAGCAGACCAACTAGATTGTTGGTACTGAAAACATTAGAAGGCAGAATTTAGATGAGCAAAACATATCTTGTTGGTCATAAAATTGTTGAACATCGTGCTATAAAATGTTAGATGAGGAATTTGCCAGGTGTTCTCATGTTGGAATATGGCAGCAGTCTTTTTCAAGATAGAGTTGTAGGAATTTTCCTACTCCTAGAGCAGTGAATGGTTAGACTTTCGAGGGTATTAGGCCCACGTGAAAATACAGTGAAAGCACCTTGTTTGTCTAGCAGATTTATACAGGTCTGTTCATGCATACATTTGCACATAATATTAGGGGGTTCACAGACTCCTCTAACACCAGTTAACCTTTAGGGACCCATGAACCTAGTTAAAGACCAGTGATCTGAAGGTGTGGGAGCAAGATTGGTTTTATCTTCTGGCATTTTCTGAAGACATTTTGAAGGTAGAGCCATGTGGTCCTGTCCCGATGGCAGTGTATAAGATGTGCTGAACTTGGTGAAAAATAGAGGTTGTGCCCAGGATAAGTCCCATAGGAATGTATCACATGTGTCTGGCTCTTTTGTTTACTGCTGTATCCAAGCATGTGCAATAATAGGTTCTCTGTAAATATTTACTGAATAAATGAAGAGGTCCAAGGAGTAGTGTGTTCTGTAGAAGAGCTGACTCGTTTCTAGTAATAGCTGATATTTGAGAAGCAAAATAAGAAAAATAGTGTATCTAGTAATATCACAGATGTTCTCTTTACATCTGAATACAGATCTAGTTTTCCCGTTTACTTCTCCCCTTGCATAATCATAATTGGTTTTCCTTTTGTTGCAAATGGCCAGGTTTTTCTGTCACTCTGCCTTTTCCATTTCCGATATTACTTCAGTAATTAGAGAAAGAGCACAGTTCATAAAAAGTTTTTGTGCTGTTTCTAGTGATTTTGAAAATCTACAGGATTTTTAAAATATATTTTTGGCTAAAATTTTGGTTTTATAAGTAATGGAAATTTTGCTCTGTGAGATTTTGCTCCACATTTTTCACTTGTTTATGCATTTAGAAAATAATGATCTAAAGCTAGGCCCCATATTTTATTTCTTTAAAAGTCATATAGCTAAGATTTCCAGATT